CACAGGGACCCCCGTGTGCCCCAGGTACAGCCCCCACGGGCACAGGGCCACCCCCCATGCCCCCCTCACCGGTTGATCTCGGTCAGCATCTCCTCCTCGATCCGCACCTGCTCCTCGTGCGTGGTGTCCCCGCGGCGCCCCGAGTCCTCCGACAGGTAGTGCCGGATGAAATGCAGCTGGGGAGGGATGGGACGGGGCTGGAACCGCACCCTGGACCCCCCTGGACCCCCCTCCCAGGGCAGGGTCCCCACCTGTTGCTGGCGGCTGGGGTAGTTCTCCGGGGAGGCCTTGAAGAAGGGCCAGGAGTCGTGGGTGTAGTTGTAAACCCACTCGCAGAAGTGGTTCCCGATGTCGAAGCCCCTGAGGAAGAGGAGGGTCAGCAGAGTTTCCCCCCCCCCAGAGCCCCCCAGAGCACCCCAAAGCCCCCCCCAGCCCCACCTGTAGTTGTAGCTGCTGTACTCGAAGTCGATGAGCATCAGCTTGTCCGAGGGCGAGGCCTCGTGTCCCGCCAGGAGCAGGATGTTCCCTGTGGGAATCAGGGATTAGGGGGGATCAGGGGGGATCTGGGGGGATCTTTGGGGTGTTCAAGGGGGGCTGCAGCCACCCCCTGTCACACTCACCCTCCTGGACGTCGTTGTGGCAGAAGACCACCGGGGATGGGGTGGATTCCAGAAGGTCCCTGAGCGAGGGAGAGACGGGAAAGGGAAGGGATTTGGGATACCCACCCTGGGGACACGGGGGACAGCGGGACTGACGGACAGGGGGGACACCAGGGACGGGGGGGACACGAGAACACAAGGACATGGGGACAGGGGACATCAGGGATATGGGGATGGGGGGACACAAGGATATGGGGACAGGGGGGACACAGGGATATGAGGACAGGAGACATCAGGGATATAGGGACAGAGAACATCAAGGATATGGGGACAGGGGACATCAGGGGGACGGGGGGACACAGGGATATGGGGACAGGGGGACACAGGGATATGGGGATGGGGGGACAGAGGGATATGGGGACAGGGGACATCAGGGATATGGGGACAAGGGGGACACAAGGATATGGAGATGGGGGGACACAGGGATAGAGGGATGGGAGGACAGAGGGATATGGGGACAGGGGACATCAGGGATATGGGGATGGGGGGACACAGGGATATGGGGACAGGGGGGATACAGGGACAGGGGACATCAGGGGCATGGGCGACACCCCAGGGACACAGGGACAGGAGAGCAGCCGAGTGGCCCCGAGACCCCCGTGGGGGGCACTGGGGGGCTCACCTGAGGCTCCTCATCTCCTCCTCCAGGTTGTAACCCTTGAGCAGGTTGAACTTTTCCAGCTGCGCCTTGTCCGTGAAGGAGAGCTCGGAAATCTGCTTCAGGTACCTGGGGACAGGTGACATCGGGGGACAGTCACACCTGGG